ATCATAATTATATTAATAGCCAACGAACACTAAACAATTCCACTTTATTCCGAGGAGTAAGTAGACCAATATCAAATGCAGCATATGGAGACAGTAGCAATAAGCATTTAATAAAAATAAACTTTATTAAATATACGGAAGACATAAGATTTGAATTCGAAATAACAAGATAGACATAAAAGAGTGCCTATAATTATCGGACGATTATCAATTAAAACATAAAATGGTGAGCCTTCATTTATTTGGACTGTTGTGGTGCTTGTTTGTTTCTATAACACAAGCTCAAGTGAGCACCAGTAAGTACATATAGTTATATTTGTATTTAACTTCACTTTTATTTTAATATTATTGATATATGACTTCCCCATCTCTTGCTGAACATTTTGAACATAACATGTTCTGGAGAAAATGAATATTTCTTCTATTTTTAATTGTTTTTCAAATTCAATGCAGTTTGTTAGCACTTGGTACAAAGGCCAATAATACGAAACTCTCCACTCTCTCATGGGCACATGTGCTTAGATTTTGACAATAAACGAACTGATTTTGCGTCGAAGCATTTATTTATGACCTAAGAGTATACTATTGCATGTAGTTTCCATTAATGAATTCACCTCGTACAAGCATAATTATGATTTAACAAGAGAGTCATATCTTCTTTCAAGCATTATATCAGAATATTCATATTTTTGTACAATGTGGCAACATGTTAACTTAACATTTTATTATTCCGTATGGTCTAATTATAATTCAAGACAAGGCAAACTTCAAGCTCAACTTAACATACTATTAATTATTAGGTTCTCATACAATGGACGTCAAATTCGACTATCCCTAAGCTGGAATTCTCGTTTAGAATTTTATGGCATATTGCCAGCTCTATCATTTTTCAGAATTGCAAATGAAGATCGTATGAAATCGAGGCACTCACTTAAATTAATAGTATTTAACAGACAATAATATATTAATGATATTTTTATAGATTTTAGAAAATTGATCACTTATGATTCATATCAACATAACATTCATTTAAATGTTAAATGCAGAGAACATATTCGTCTTGAAATGACCTACACCCCAATTTACTTATGAAGGTCTATTAAAATGACGTTTGCAACGGGTAAATAATGATACGATAGAATTGCATTAATAGTCTAATACGGTTTATGGGCGCAAACTGTTTTACCAAAAATGCAAAAAAATATTATAACGTATCTACCCTGTATAATCATAATTATAATCCAACAAATTGCTGTCTCCTAAACTTTTATATCTATAATAGCTATTATAACTTGAATATTTATACTTTGTGTAAAGTTTCTAGCGCAACACATAGAGGTTATGTTAAATGCAGAGAGCCAATTCGTTTTTAAATGACATATACATTGAAAGACCTAAGAACATTTATGGACATTACAATGACTTTTTCAATAGAATCATATTGTACCAATTTCATGGCACAGGTCGACAGAAGAAAATACTTTAGATTTGGTTTAGTTATACAATGATATATTTATTAAGTTATTTACCTTTCAAGTGTCCAAAAATAGATTATTATCCAAAAATACCACGGTAAATGTTAAACACAATAGACAGAATTTACCTATGAATGTCGTCAACATATTAATATACATTGAACAGTTCACTTCGAGGAGGATGAGTTTGTGCATTTCCATGTTATGGTAATCAGGAACTCTGGGTCGTCAGAGCCCAATTTTTAAAGGCTATGAAATTGTCATCTACATTAAAATGTATTGTAGAGGGGTAAATAAAGGCAGAACGAAATTGAATTAACATTATATGAATAAGCTGGGAATACTAAAGACAGTAGCAATAAACAATAAACAAGGCAAAACAATATAGACATAAAGGATTGGCTACTTAGGCATTTATCGCACGGTTAACAATTTAAACAAAAAATGGCGAGTCTTCTGGTATTTGGATTCTTGTGGTGCTTGTTAATGTCCATAACACAAGCTCAAGTAAGCACAAATAAGAACATTTATTTATTTTTGTTAATTTCACTCAAAAACCCTGACCTTGCATCCAGTATCCCTTTTACTTTTAGGTTGTTTAACTTCATGTTATAATTTTCTACATTCAAATTGATGCAGAATTGTTAAAGATAATACTTTTGAAAAATTCGTCAGAAGTATCGGTGTATTTTTGAATTAATAATTATTTGCAATTAATACATCCTATCATCATTAATTCGTTGAAAAAGTCATTAAAATGCTCAAAGTTCTTCTATGGTCATTCAGGGGATAGGTCACTTCAAAGTTTTATGCATTTAACATTTCCAAGTTATGGTGATCTTAAACTCTGTGTCATCAGGGCTCAATTTTCGAATTGCTGTGGAATATCATCGACATTAATATGTTTATTTTCGAAAGAATTTATGGCTTTTTGGTAATTGAATTCAATAACATTTTCAAGTTATGGCGATTTGGAACTCTGAATCATCTGTGCTAAGTATTCTAAAGGCTATGGAAATATCATCTACATTAACGTGTTTATTTTCGAAAGAACTCGTGGCTTTTTGGTAATTGTATTTAACAACATTTTCAAGTTATGGCGATCTAGAGCCCTGAATCATCAGTGCTAAGTATTCTAAAGGCTATGGAAATATAATCTACATTAACGTGTTTATTTTCGAAATAACTCGTGTCTTTTAGGTAATTGCATATTATTCTTTAACTTTAAAATGTTATTTGCTTTGACGTGCTTCGACATGATTTTAAATTCTGTACGATGCCAAAGTTAAAGTATTTAATGAGATAATCTAATTTGAGCCTTATAATATGTTAAAAGGTTTCATTTTATGTTATATGATTTTAATTATAATGGTCTAAATGAAACTTCAAATCAGACAGCAACTTTTGCTAATACATCCTAGATCATTCAGGGTATAGATCTCCTCAGGAGGATATGTTTTATGCATTAAACAGTCGCAAGTTATGGTTTTCTAGAACTCTGAATCATCAGTGCTCATGTTTTCAAATGTTATCGAAATATAATCTACATTAAAGTGTTTATTTTCGGAATAACTCATGGCTTTTTGGTAATTGTACATAATAACATTTCCAACTTGTGGTTTTCTGGAACTCTGAATCATCAGTGTTGAATTTCGAAAGACTATTAAAATATCATCAACAATAAAGTGTTTATTTTCGAAGTTACTCATGTTTTTAGTAATTGTATATAATAATATTTCTAGGTTATTTTTTCTTGAACTCTGAATCATCAGTGCTCAGTTTTCGAAAGGCTATGACAATATCATCTACATTAGTATGTTCATTTTCAAAACAACCCATGTCTTTTTGGTAAATATATAATACTCTTAGCATATCGAGGCAATTGTATAATTGCAGATTTTAAGTTTAAAATTATAGGGATGATCCGATGTGGCTGTTCTTAATAGCTAGCAACCAATCAGCTCAGTAAAAAAATTGTAGAGGAGTATATAAAGGCAGAACTAAGAAAGCTACATTATCATTAAATAACTAAGCTTGCAATACTAGACAATTCCGTTTTATTCCAAAGAGTAACGAGACAGAGAACAACTGCAGCATAATAAGACAATAGTAATACGCATTTAATAAAATAAACTTTATTACACATACGGAAGAAATACATTTGAATCCGAAATAACAAGATCAACATAAAAGCGTGGCTATAGTTGGGCAGTTATAGCACGATTAACAATTTAAACAAAAATGGCGGGTCTTCATTTATTTGGACTGTTGTTGTGCTTGTTATTTATTTCTATAACACAAGCTCAAGTAAGCATCAGTAAGTACATATAGTTATATCTGTATTTAATTTCACTTTTCTCATCTTTTCTAATATTTAGAATAAATATATCATATATTTTATTCATAACAAATGGAAAGTACGATTTTCCCCGAAAATTTGAAAGTGGGGTTACATATACGTACAAGGTTTGACTAGGATGGCAGCATGAGCACCTCACCTTTTAGCTTATGTATATAAGATCGGAGATTCTTTATATCACAGGTTGACTTTTCATAAAGACAAAGTTGTGCGATTGAATAATAGAGTTTAGTTTTCCAAAATGTTGTGGAATTGTTTTCTTTGCGAATTAGCCAAGATTTAAAGCTATTATATGCAAACGCTGAAATCATTAGATCAATTACACTTTCATCACCTCTTTTTAAAATAATATTATTGCCTATGACAGTACTTTTCCAAGATATTTTAATTTTGAATAAATATACATTCGCATCTCTTTTATTTGATCGCACTCTAAGATGATATGTTTCAAATTGTTTTCAATCATACAAACATTGAATAATTGTGATCTATTCTTTGGAAGAATATCATGGAACATTTTATGTTAAAGTAAGCTAATTTAGAATATATGAGTTCCCTTATATTTTGTGTAATATTTAAGATATTCATAATTCGTTTCTTGTTTTGGGGATTTTAGACTTTTATCACACGAGTACACGATCGAGCCACTTGGTGTTTTATTCCCTAAACTTTTATATCATTGATTTTCTTGAACTATTATACAGAATATTCATACTTTGTCTATATGTTCTAGCGTCAACGTCATAGAATATTAATCATTTAAGTTGCATATATAGGGATTCAAATTGGGTTGCCCACGTCGTGTCATTTAAAATGTCAATACATCTTCTCAACTCTGTAAGCGTACTGAATTGGATATCATGTTGCAGCAGATCGAGGCACTTCATATTCTAAAGAGAATTTCAATTACTTAAAAGTTATTTCAAAAGTAAACATCAACATCAATGTAGATGATATTTCCGTAGTCTTTTGAAAATTGAGCACTGATGATTCACAATTTCATTGCTTCGAAATATTAAATGCCTACAGCATATCCGTCTTGAAGTGACATAAACCGTTAATGTTATTGGAAGAACAATATACATTTAAATTACTTTATTACAATATTGATGAAATGTTGTATTATTTTATCCCGGCGGTTCAGTAACAGGTTTCCTTTTTTCCAGATGACTGTAAGGTTGATGGCAAAGTATATCGTCCTGGGAGCATAAGGAAGGTCTACTGCCAGGAATGGTAAGTAATTCCCATGTGTTATAACTTTTATGTTGAAATTGACCATAGTCATGATTGCCATGGTCCATAACTGTTGAATGCAGTGAAGTACCATGGTCATACTATTGTCGATCCTGGTCGCTAAAAATGGCATAATTACATATCATGATAAACACCACTTTCATACTTTGGGTTGTCCTTTCTGCAGTATGCTATGTCATCAAATGCAATGAAAGCATGGTAAAAATTACGATGAAATATCATCAAAATGAATGGTTTTGGCCATGACAAGCTGTCCGTTAACATGTTACACCCTTATGTTAAAGAGCATGATTTCACTAGTTCCTATTGTGCTTCAGGGTCAAACTAGTTCGAGTGACCATTGTAGTTTCATTGTCAAACCCATTCATTTAGATAACAGTTCATTTGACCATTGCAGTTTCATGTCAAAACCATTGTTTTAGACAACAGTTCAAGTGACCATTGCTGTTTCATTGTCAAAACCATTGCTTTAGACAACAGTTCAAGTGACCATTCCAGTCTCATTGTCAAACCCATTCATTTAGATAACAGTTCAAGTGACCATTGCTGTTTCATTGTCAAAACAATTGTTTTAGACAACAGTTCAAGTGACCATTGGTTTCGACAACAGTTCAAGTGACCATTGCTTTCGACAACAATTCAAGTGACCATTGCAGTTTCATTGGCAGTTTCATTGGCATTGTCAAACCCATTCATTTAGCCAACAGTTCAAGTGACCATTGCAGTCTCATTGTCAAAACCATTTCTTTAGACAACAGTTCAAGTGACCATTCCAGTTTCATTGTCAAACCCATTCATTTAGATAACAGTTCAAGTGACCATTGCGATTTCATTGTCAAAAGCATTGCTTTAGACAACAGTTCAAGTGACCATTGCAGTTTCATTGCCAAAACCATTGCTTTAGACTACAGTTCAAGTGACCATTGCTTTCGACAACAGTTCAAGTGACCTTTGCTTTCGACAACAGTTCAAGTTACCATTACAGTTTCATTGCCAAACCCATTGCTTTAGACAACAGTTTAAGTGACCATTGCAGTTTCATTGCCAAAACCATTGCTTTAGACTACAGATCAAGTGACCATTGCTTTCGACAACAGTTCAAGTGACCATTGCTTTCGACAACAGTTTAAGTGACCATTGCTTTCGACAACAGTTCAAGTGACCATTGCAGTTTCATTGCCAAAACCATTGCTTTAGACAACATCTCAAGTGACCATTGCAGTTTCATTGTCAAATCCATTGCTTTAGACAACAGTTTAAGTTACTATTACAGTTTCATTGCCAAAACCATTGCTTTAGACAACAGTTTAAGTGACCATTGCAGTTTCATTGTCAAAACCATTTGCATTTGACGGCATTCCATGGTCTAAAACATTGAATTTGACGATATTCCATCGTTTACATCAAGTTTAAATGCATTTGACTATATTTTACCAAAAAACAGCACATATGTTACAGAAGAACTGCTGCCCATGATTTGCAATGATGTCATTTGACGGTCATGATCGACCATTGAATTCAATGGTAAATTATATACCCGAGTGAAAAAAACTGAAAAGTCTTCTATTTAAGGAGTTAAGAAGTCTGTTGACCCAATGGAAAAAATGGTACCATTGGAAACTATAATACTGGCCTATAACATGTGATAGGTGTTAAGGACATCAACTTCAATTGAAATCGATATTATTTCCTATATCTACAAATTACTACCTTTCCAACGATGCCAAAATGGGCAGAGATAGGGTCAATCGACTTGTTAAGTTCATACAATGTCTGTTTTCCCACTCAGGTAATATTGTTAATCTGTATCTAAAAAAACGTTTCATTGTCTTATCAGTTAATTGTCATCCAATACAGTGAAACTTTGATCACCAGGTTTATGGCTTTGCATTTAATGGTAGTCATAATTAAACCTATTGCATTTGATTGTTTATTGGGGTATGACCGTGCTATTTAATGCACAAGTTTAAATATTAAATACCAGAAACCATTAGATGCCATGGTAAATGAGAGTTATTATTTTATGTCCATGGTAATTAATGGTCATGTTTGACAGTGAAGTATCATAAAATGCCAAAGTCAACCGACAATTATATGTTTGGCACCGATCCCTGGTAGTTAATATACATGTTTGACAGTGAATAACAAGTTGACAAATAATGATTTTATAACCATTTAAACATTTTCTATTATTAAAGAAGCACTTGCTGATTAACATATAATTAACTTTTCAAACAGATGAAACGATTCTAATATTGACTTAAAGAGATACATACTGATTATACATATTAGGTTTATTCAAATAATACTTCTTGCTCTATTTAAGAAGAAAATGCTGGTGTGTAACCTCATAAAGAGGGCCATGCTGGTGTAATTCCTTATGTTGACATATGACAAAGCAGCACATAGCACCACCAGTTAAAGAGCATGGCAAGATTTAAATTCCTACAACTTTAGAATTTGGCTGTAGGTTGAAATTTTAATGAAGTGATGCTCTTAAACTGGCGGTTCTATTTGCCACTTTTCTATTTTATTTCAAAATTTAAGAAATAAGAAACAAATGCTGCTTCATTTTTAAAATTGTAATGTGCAATATCCATTTGCAACAAATATCCTTATATCACTCCCAAACTATCACATATTATATTTTACCAATCACAATATACAATTAGAGGAGGTGTAGGTAACATAAGAAGGCATTCTTTAATATCATACTTTAATATCAGTAATAATTTGACAATTAATAATCAAATTGAAAGTGGACTAATATCCATATCTTCATGCTGCAGTATATTTGTAGAAGACATGGACAATATCGACTATTACGTGTGGGATTGTAATGGTATAGATTTTCTGATAAGGGACTTCATAATAGTTGAAAGTGGACTAATGTCTTCATATTGAAGCCTATGTGTAGAAGACTTGGACAATGCCGACTATTACGTGTGGGAGTGTAATGGTATAGATTTTCTGATTGGGAATAGATAATAATTGAAAGTGGACTAAAATCCATATCTGCATTTGCAGCATATGTGTAGAAAACTTGAACAATGTCAACCAGTACATGTGGGATTATGAAGGTTTGGATTGTCTCATCAGGGACAATGCTGACCATTGCATCTGGGAGTGTAATGGTGTAGATTGTCTGTATATGTTTATGTTGCAGCATTTGTATAGAAGACATGGACAATGACGACCACTATGTGTGGGAATGCGAAAGTTCGGATTAATCTCGATCATAGACTGTGTGAATGAGGGCAATAAAGGGCAAGTGCCATATTATATATACTGTATATGTTTATGTTGCAGCATTTGTATAGAAGACATCGAAAATGATGACCACTATGTGTGGGAATGTGAAGGTCTGGATTGTCTCATCAGGGCCTCGATCATAAACCATGTGAATGAGGGCAATAAAGGGTCAGTCCAAATGTTTACATTTTTAATTAATACATAAAGCCTTTCCAAACTAGGAATTACATTGATAATCGTTGACATAAAGTTTAAAGATCACAATTCAACAGGGTGGGCCAAAAACATACACATTTTTGTTTTCCTTTCAGAATACATGGATTTCGATAGAATGTTAACAGTTAATGCAGTTAAATACTTAAAGCTTCCATAAAAAGTTTAAACCACTTTGGCTTAGATTTTAGTCTCACTTTTACAATTGTTTCTGAAATAAATTTCCCTAAACAGGCACTAGGGGTCTTATCTAAAATATACACCCGTCATGATGATATTGAAACCAATATGTTACATATATGTTGGTCATGTCTCAAATAATAGTACCAGATCTCATACAGTCACTAACTTGGACAAAATGAGATGAGTTTAAAGAAGGCGATTTTTGCTAGAAAATCTAAAATCATAATTTAAAGTGGAACGCTTCTACACACAACTGTATTAAATACTTACAGCTTCCATATAAAGTTTGAACCACTTTGGCTTCTATTTTAGTGTTACCAAATGCTATCAAAGTGTGATATGTGAAACTATTTTTTAAATTTCGAAGTGGTTTTTGAAGGATTTTTTTGTACGAAAAATCATGAATTTATTTAAAACTAACTTTTAGAGGTCACAAAACGTTTCTTTTTATAAGCAATAATTCATAACAATTCATAGCATTCATCATTGCTTGTTTTTGCAGAAAAAAAATAAGAAAAGTGGTACATAAATAGGAGAGAAATGAACTCATCAATGCATGAAAATATTTGTTTGTCTTCAAAAATCTCTAAAATAACAAATGACAAATAGTAAATAAATGATAAAAACATATTTTCAAACTTAACATGGGGACTTAAAATGCGATATTATTATTACAAAATTTATGTTAAATACAAAAGAATTATAATCAATCATACTTAGAATAGTACAGTGAGTTGAGAGGTGAAGGCATTTTGGTTGTAGTAAAGGTCCCATATACAGTTTACCCAATGTTATCAAAATGTGTTTTTTATTTATTTATTTGCACACACTTATACCACAGTGGCACATGGATCCCGAGGTCCAAGTGTGGCATATTGCATATCAAAAGTACATGTAAAACATACACCTTGTTTTTAAGATCATTATATATCTTTACTAAAAAAAACAAATTTGTCCAAATATCACATAGAAATGGTAAGAGTGGTGAAAAACTGCATAATTTTGAAAGAAATTTTGGCCAGGGGGGTATGAATAGAATCATCAAACAGACTATGATCAAACATTATGAACTATTTTTGTAAAAAATATATTTCTATAACACTTTCTTACGTCACCTTCAAGTGGTCATGATGTTTTCATCCTTCTCATTCATTCATTTTACCTATGATTATTAATTTGTCTCTTGCACTTTTTCCAATTAAGTTTCTGCATAATATGTATTTTCTTCATTGGTGAATATGTCTGTAATGCCTTAGGGCGATTGAAATTTTTGTTAATTGTAATTTATTAATTAATGCAATAAATACTAAACTAAAATACTAAATACTACATTAACTATGTACCCTGCAAGATATATATCTTTGGTAATTTATTTCATGCAACTTGTAGGTGGAAAGCTGGTAGCTATTCCTTTCTACAGGATAAAAGCTTGACATTCGGAATGAAGTACAAATTGGGGACACTATTGCCATCAAGTGATGCAATACCCATAAGGCAAAGCCGGGTGAGCGCAGACAAAACCTTCCCAAGGAAATATGACTTGCGCAAGGAATCGAAGGGGCATGTGTCTAAAATCCGAGACCAAGGGGATTGTGCCTCATCCTGGGCAATTAGTACAACTGGTGAGTCAAAGAAAATACTTAAATAGTTTATCAAAGGAGGACAGGAAGTATCGCAACAGATTTCATATGTTGGATTTGGGCTATTTTCTGAGGATTTAAACAGGTACATATGTTCACTGGGGGGTATCGTGATGCAACAACACCGTGTTGTTGCATCAAGATGGCCAGACTTCCGGTGATCGATTTTCGAACGATATTTTGTTTTCCCAATTTAAACCCATTTCTAGGACGAGTTGCTCAATAATCATACACATGCAGCTAGCGCATGATCTATATTTTGAAAAACTGTCGTTAGTATACATGTAGCATCATCAAGAAGCTATAAATTCGCGGTTTTAATTCCTCACTATTGATGCAACAACACCACTCTGTTTATTATCGATGATACAACAACACCAATGTGCTGATGCAAAAACGCCAATATAATGTATCATTGAACAACAAGAGAAACTGTTTATGTCCTGTTTACAGGTGTTGGTCGGGACATGAATAAAACGCGTGAGTCCGTGGTCCATGAATGAAACGTATTTTGTTTGGTTTCTTAATGTATTTGTATCTGAAAAATAAAGATTATCATACGAACATTTTCTAAATTAAATGCCCTTGATTTACCGTATGGAAATTGTATACAAATAACTAATATAATCATGGAAAGACAACAGATATCAGTCATTTTGTGTTGTTTGTACCTCAATTGAAATACTCATTTCTGATTGGTTGATGAGCGGGCAACAATATGTATTGTTAGTACCTCAGTGTAAATAATCGCATCTGATTGGTCTATTAGCGGTCAACATTTTTGCCTGTACCTCACTTGTGCATCATGGGATATCATATTATTGACCGCGTATGTTACTGTACTACACTTGTGAATTATGGGAAATATGACGTCACAATGCTGACAGAAAAAACATGGTAGACGGACATTTTGTAAACGTTGATGAAAGTGATACTTTTCTACACGACGAGTATAGCAAAAATACAAATAGAAACGCAAAATTAACATTGATTTACTAATGAGTACGCAGTTATGTGCCGAAAACAGAGAGTTTAGCTTCAACTGTCTTCAGATTGATTTTCTTAAAAGATTATTGCTGGCGGGGTTCGGGGAGAAGATTATGAAGCCATGATTGATGACTGTCGTCTATATGTGTATTATTAGTTTCTTCTGACTAACAAAACAATTGTAGACCTCTCCATTCGGTCAACCGTCAAAATCATATACCTCGACTGTAAACCTTGAAACTACTGTTGACCTCGACCTTCGGTCTCTGTCAACAGTAGTTTCTCGGTTTACAGTCTCGGTATACAATTTTGCCGGTTGACCTTTGGAGAGGTCAACAATTGTATACTGCTGACCGCTACTAGGTACTGTTGACCGCTACTTTTGAAAAAATGTTTTTTGAATGTTGATTTTTTTTTAATTTTGAAAAAATAAGTTGTGTAAAAAATTACAAGTATTCGACGGTTTTGAGATTTTTGCTAAAATATGATACCTTTACTTATCAAATATGTTCACTTGATATTCGATTATATATTCGTCCAATTATTATATTCTTCGAACTAACAAACAATTGTTCACCTCTCTATTCGGTCAACTGACCAAAGTGTATACCTCAACAGTAAACACTGAGAGTACTGTTGACCTAGATCTCCGGTCTCGGTCAACAGAACTTTCAAGGTTTACAGTATCGGTATACAATTTTGACAGTTGACCTCAAGAGAGGTCTACAATTGTATATTGTATATTATGAGGTTATATAATGGTTCATTCTGTATATCGTGTTTATACTCGAGTGAGTTATCCCACCCAAAGTATGACGTCATTTATCAAGTTGAAGAGTTGTATACGCTGCTCAGGAGTCGTGTACGCTATCCAGGAGTTGTACATCGTTCTCAAGAGTTGTATAGGATGAGTGTTGGTTTAATGATATTGCAGTTATACAATGCTATTATATAGAGGTTATTTACTAAGAGGGATTCAATATTGGTTTTATTCCGAGGGACAATATGATATGTCCCGAGGGCCCGGGGGAATCTGGGATTACTGTACCCCTATCAGTTTACCTTTTTGGGCCCTAAATCCTATCACTTTTGTTTACCTTTTTACTTAGTCGGAGAGAACGAATCCACAGAGAGCAATACTTCTACATGTGCACCGTGCAAGATTTTCATTAAACGTGTAACTAAACCTCCCTAATAAAGTCAATTAGACGTTTTTACTCGTTGGCTCTCCAAATTGGAGGAAATAAAGAATCATATCATATCATAGATGAAGCAATCATCTCATTAACATGCTTTTTGAAATGTTCTCCGATAAGCTCACGAATGTTACAGTGAAACTGTTTTAGCTATATTTTGACAGTGGTAACGTACATCTACTATATCTAGTTTATCACTGTTCTACAGATGGATGACAGATAATTTCCAATAGCTCGTCATGTTTACCGAGAACGAAAGATGTTTGTCCACCATTTTGAATGATACTAAATGGAGTCAGGGTCATCAAGCTATGGAACAGTGGTTTATGAAAATAGATTGGGTTACTGTAGCTTGCCATGTTAAAGGCGATTGAACTATGTTATAGAACAACGTCCAGTACATAATGATATTTAAAAGTATAAATTTTTGAAAATATATGTAAAGAATCTTCGCCCGCAGGACGTGTATTTTGAATGCCTTGAGAAGAACGCAAATGGGTAATGGGTAACGGTGTCGCAATCGTAGCATTTAAAAATCTGTTCCTCTCGAGATTTATGGTCTTCTGAAATTATACTATTAATTGGTGTTGCTGCATCATTGCTAAAATCTAGAGGAGTGTTGTTGCATCTTCGGTTTGGTGTTGTTGCATCAATAGTGAGGAACTAAAACCGTGAACTTATTGCTTCTTGATGATGCTACATGTATACTAATGACAATTTCTTTAAATATAGATCGTGCGCTAACTGCACGTGTATGGTTGATTGAGAAACTCGTCCTAGAAATGGGTTTAAATTGGGAAACAAAATATCGTACGAAAATCTAACACCGGAAGTCTGGCCATCTTGATGCAACAACACGGTGTTGTTGCATCACGATACCCCCCCCCCCGTGTATGTTAGGCCATTGGAAAAACACTCATAGAGATGATAAAACAATTTCAACTTTGAGACAGGGAAGATGCAAACAACTCACCCGTAAGTTTTTTTGAAATGCTGTCCCTCTTTTTTACCCACAATCCTCCCACAATGCTTTTTCAAATTTTGTTGCATCAATATGTTTCGCTTTGAGACACCGTTTACCTCTTTAAATGAACAAGTAGTTCCTCCAGGGGTTTTAAATATATCCATTATGGGTGACCAAAATTAAGCTGAAAGCAACGGATTGCATGAGTTGGGAAAATAACATGGAATATATTGTTTTCCAAGGAATTACTTATTCCTTTAAAGGGATTTACTGTGTCTAACAACATATCGATGCAACGTAAAATTTAAAAAGCAGGGGTGGAAGGGGTCCAGAATCTGTTGCGATGCTTTAAATATATAATATCCAAATTCCTTTCAAGGTCTAGGTGCATTTCTCATTTACACATTATTATTTCAAGTGTGTCCCGTCAATGCCAACAGATTGGATTTCATCAAGCTATATACTAAATGAAAAAAAAATTCTGTAAATGAGGAATATGATAAGTGGATTGACACAATGCTTCGGTGCAAAACTATCCCAGTCCCACACAATAATAGTTTATTTTTCAGATGTTACCTCGGATCGGCTTAAAATGAAAATGACTAGCGGAATCAAGGTAGATTTCTCCCCACAACAACTTATCTCTTGCATTGGGGACAAGCAACTTGGATGTACAGGGGGACACTTGGATAGCGCATGGGAGTACATGAGATTACAAGGGTATGCGCTAGAACTTAAATATATATGCAATAATAATCATGCATAAATGCCAAAGGGAAATAAATTGTAACAGATGACAGCAAAAACATATAACATTCATGCACAGTTGTCCCATCACAAGATTTCTTTAAAATGCAATGAATTGTCATGTCCATGCAAGGATGATGTTTAATTTTAAACAACATAACCAAGCCTTCAGTATGATTTGCATAAGGGGATATAGTATTTTATCCTATGCCAAGAGGAGTTTTAGGGAGATAAGTTGGTAAGATATATCCCGTATCCCGATTTTGTGGTTTCCATATCCAGAACCTCCATGTCTCCCGCTTCGGTGCATATCTTCCCGCTTCCGGTGCATATCTTCCGGTAATGCAATAAAATGACTTTGCATATGAATCATCCCTCGTGAGATATGCACATCTCCCTCTGGATAAACCCCATATCCAAAACCCCCAGTACATAACCCTTATATATGGGATTAGGTATAATTTTAATGTTTGATTTAGATACATTCTTCAAATCAAAATGCTTTGACTGAGTACTTAGCCTTTAGCAGATTCGATTAAGGGGAACATATTACATATGTAAAGAAAAAAGGTCTAATCTTTATGTTTGGTTTGGTACATTCTTCAAATCAAGATCGCATTGACGTATTACTTAGCCTCTAGCAGATTCTTATAAGGGGCACATATTATATAGATCTAATCTTTGTGTTTGGTTTGGTACATTCTTCAAATCAAGATCGCATTGACGTATTAATTAGCCTCTAGCAGATTCTTATAAGGGGAATATATTACATACAAATAGGATAAGGTCTTCTTTTTATGTTTGATTCCTACAGCTGGGGAGGAAAACGCGCTAAAAAGAAGGACTCCGTACAGCAGAATAATGTACCGATGGAGGCATTTTTATTCTGCTTTTAATGACACAAGTTTCAGGAAAAACGGGGCAGCATGAGACTCAAAGGTCCATAATTCAACCATTTCTTGATGAAATCAGAAGTCTGTTCTGGAAAATCCAGATTTAAAATTAAGAGAAAATCGGGGTTTCTAGAAGTAAATCGGAAGAAAACTAAATGAACGAAAATCAGGATTTGTTTATAAAAATCAGGGTTTGGAAAAATGTGGTTGAAAATCATGATTCATTTTCTTAAAATATGTGAAATCCTAGAAAAACCGGGGTCTCTCGAATTCAACAAGGAAAAAATCAGGCTTTTAAAATGGGAGAAACTGTGGATATCTAAATATATATTGTGAGAAAAACAGGGTTCAAAAAATAATTCACTGAATTGGGGGTTTTTAACTCGGGATGTATTGTTGAAAAATTATGAGTTTTTATGTACATGTAGATTACCTGGAACCATACATTTCTTAATTCACTTCATGTTTTGGTTTTGATGTTCACATTTAGTGACAACCTACACTTCAAGAATTGATCTTTTAAATGATATTTAGGTGATTTATAAATCTAATCAAACATATTCATACATACATGTTTATATGTATTTAGGTTCATTTAGTCAGCCTTTAAAATCCACTATTAGGTTCAAACCTATATATTATATCTTCTAAAAATTTGGAAAATACATATACTAGTATTTTTCATAAGAGTTTTTACGATTTGGAATTATATTATTTGTCAAGGGAAATGTTCTAAGTAAAAGCCGGTGATTCTAACAGTGTTTGTATTATTTTAGAGTTGCAGATGAAGAATGCTACCCTTATACCAGTGGCTTATACAGCTCTAAGAAAACATGCCAAGTAGAAAGATCATCATCAAGATCTAAGAATGGTGTATGTTCCAAGAAAAACAAAATCTACAAAATGGATAAACCATACAGAATGCCTAACAATGTGAGTGGAATTCAATATTGTATTTTTAGATCTAGTGTTTGATTATATGTGGTCTGATTTAAATCTAATCTAATCTAACCAGCAGACCAGAAGAAGTGAGTAGCTCCCATAATTCTTTCATATCTATCGTATTCGGGGATTCCCCATTACGTCATCTTCAGCATCATCTCCAATCAAATTGCAAGATGCGATCACGTGAACAATCATGAAATCGTGGCAATGGCGTTAAAGCAGATATGAAATGGTATTTTTTAACCTAAAGGAATCAATATAATTTTTTGATAAATGTATTCGGACATATTTTCTCATCAGTAGTGCGAAAACTATTTCACTCTAGCGATCGTTATAGCTGCTTAATAAGCAATATTCGAATTGGTTGTGACGTTATTGGCCCCCACGTGATCTCTCACTGGTCCCCACATGGCCCATAACGTCATAATGCCAAAATGTTTTGTTTTGGTTTACACTACAATCCTATGGTTGCCGTGACGTTGTGATTACTAAGGAACCAATAAACCAAAGCTATATTTTGTATATGACGTTACTTATCACGTGGGGGCCAATTTGATTGATCAGTTAGTTTTATTTCGTTATTTATGACCGTTAGCAGTTATCTAACATTTATTTTATGATGACTATCGCAAGAACTCTACGTTGGGCTTACAAAGGAGAAAACCGCATTTTTGTAGCTGCAAGTTGAGAAAAGCTATTTCAGTTGTCCTTTAACGTTCAATATCATCATTTTAAACATACGGTAATACTATTGAAGTTATTCCATCCAAACTTGTAGAGAATACTCATAAAACTACAGCGAACATTGGGAGATTTAGCTCAATGGCAAATGAGGCCTGTTTATAAAATTTGTTTTCGAACGTGCCAATATGAAAGGTCATCTTTGGGAAATCCCCCCCCCTGAAGCAGACGATGGGAGGCTCTTCCGGAGTCCAAATCGGAAGTCAAAAGAGTAACCGCACTTTCAGTTTAATAACTGAATAATGAAGATTGATGGTGCTCACTGTGGGTTATTCATGTACATGTATTATAAGTTATAATCAGTAGACGATGGAGGTGGCCCAGTCTCAGTTTTTAGTTGTTATTGTCACTTGAAATAGGCATGATTTGCAAGGTGAGACTAAGGTTATCACATTTAAGTTCTAATTAAGTCAAAACTGAAAAAAAATCTTTAAAAATGACTGTCCTAGATTTAACCTATCCAAGTTATTCTCTAATTCATTCACTACCATTAGATAACCTACAATTTCTATCCATTCTATTTTTATTTTTAAGGTTTAGTTGAAGCTAAGTTACATTAAGTCAGCAGAAAATAAATAGATGCTAAATTGTTGTACATGTGTGTACCAATTTATTATGATATAATTTCTCTTTTGACTTTCAATCTATATCTAGTAGTGCATCTATAATATACACTATAACCAAGATCACCATGGATATAACATTTTGTAAAATCATGCTCTAATGAATTGTACCTGTACTGCACTGTATTGTTCTGCACTGAACTGTATTGAACTGTACAGTATTGTACATACATCTCATTTTGACCATTGATCTCCCGTTGATCTTTTTCAGGAAAAGGAAATAATGGAGGAGATCCTCACCAATGGTCCTGTCCAAGCCACCTTTGTTGTGCACGAAGATTTCTTTATGTACAAAAGCGGTATATATAGACATTCTGTTGCAGCAGATGATATCGGGTTAAGTGGCTACCACTCTGTCAGAATAGTGGGGTAAGTTTGTTTAACACTTCTTCGGAATGATTGATGATGTGTCCAATGTGAGTTTAAAAGCAACTTGGACTTGGTCAACCTAAATGACATAAAATGCCATGTACACGGTGTCCAATACTACCCAACGTAAATCGTTCCGGATTTGTTTTTCACAACCATTTGGACTCGATTTAATTTAAACACTTTTCACCCACTTCTGCACTTTGAATCCAGAATAACTTCACCAATTGTGAATATTTTGGGAGATTGTGTATTTGAGATTGTATGGAATATATTGGTAGGTCAACTGTACATGTTGCTTGTAATTCTGTCACCCCTATAGATCTGATTGTGCCTTTAAACACCAATCCAGGTGTTTCCTTATTTGTGCACAATATACTGATTTTGTATTTTGTCATATTCATATTTCCAGATGGGGCTCTGAATGCAGTTCTCAAGGGGACACAAAATATTGGGTAAGGAAATGATTATTTAGCAAACGAGTGCCATATTAGAATAATGACCCTCAGACTGCTACATTGACAAAAATATGGAGTACATGGTAGTAAAGTTGGAAGCTACCGAGTGTCCTATTTTTACACCATTTTCATCATTTGAAAGTGGAAGATGGGGCACATAATTTAAAATTGTGTATGATTTCTGCAGATTTCAGGTCCCTGTTATCTTGGATTGACAGTGATGGTGTATGGCCATTACAAAACACATTGTGCACTGTATGTACATGACAATGATGATTTACAACAATTGTTAACTAATAACAATCAGTCAATTGAAAAAGTATCCAGAAATTGTGGATACAAGATAAACACAAAACATCCTAGATTTTTTTGAAAATGTTGACACTAGACATGTACAATAGTTTGAGAAAATGTAACTCCTTATTTGAAGTAGCAGTCACTGATCAGAAATCAATTTGTCTAAATATACTTATTAATATTCCTTACATTGACATTGTTAGGGTCCATACATACAGCACACTGGCAGATCAAAAGGGGGGGGGGGCAATGGGGAAAATTTTTGGGCCCACATTTTTTTCTCCTGACATTTTTACCAGACTTGAAATGTGGGCCCCCTTGCTACCTTCTTGATCCACCAGTGCAGCATGTTTGTTTGTGAAAGAATGTCTTAAAATATAAATTTTCAGATTGTTGCCAACTCCTGGGGAAAACAATGGGGAGAACAGGGATATTTTCGAATCCAGAAAGGCGTGAACGAATGTGAAATTGAGTCATACGTGGTTGGTGTAACAGGTGAGTTTTATTAAGTATGCTCATACACACACTAGCTTTGTTCAAGAAAGAATTTTCAAGATGGCAGTTAAATTTCAAAATGGCCACCATTTTCCTAGAATAACATAATGTTTGATAAATTAAATGCCAGAAGTTCAAATCTGACTCTAGATTTGAGAGTTTTAGCTCAAGGTAAAAAAAGGTTAAACAGGTCAAAAAAGTATTTTTTCAAAATCATCAAGATTTAAGATTTGACCTTCTCAAGCTTCTCTTCATAGGTCAGCAGCTGAGCAAAATATTAAAAAACTTTGTGTGCCCTAAGTTTCTCACTGGATTCTTATAGAGCAAGGTCTTAAAGTTATTTTGAAAATTAAAAATTTTAGATTTTATGATTGGTTCAGTATTAACATCACCATATTAAAATATAGGAATCTGATGTAAGAGGAATTATTGTCCTTCAGTGAATATTGTCCTAATTTGCATTGATATCTGCCAGGAGAAAACTGCATGACTTGTTAAGTATGAAGGTTACCAAATGAATGTATGGGAATCTAATGTGAGATGAATTATCGTCCCCCTGGAAATATTGTCCTAGTTTGCATTGATATCTATCAGGACAAGACTTTGCATGACTGGTAAAGTATGAAGGTTACCAAATGAATGTATGAGAATCTAATATAAGAGAAAGTATTGCTATTCAGGGAATTTTGTCCAAGTTTGCATTGATTTCTGGCAGAACAAGACTTTGTATGACTGGTAAAGTATGAAGATCACTTTATAAAAGTATTGGAATCTAATGTAAGATGAATTATTGTCCCCGGGAAATATTGTCCTAGTTTGCATTGATATCTGCCAGGACTAGACTTTGTATGACTGCTTTAGTTTGAAGGTCAAAATATTAATGGGAATCTAGTGAAGAGGAACTATTGTCCCTCAGGGAATATTGTCCTAGTTTGGATTGGTATCCATCAGGAGAAGACTTTGTATTACTGGTTAAGTTTAAAGATCACCATATGAAAGTTTGAGAAATTAATGTAAGAGGAATTTTTGTCCTCTAGGAAATATTGTCCTAGTTGGCACGTAAATCTCCCAGGAAAAGACTGTGTATAACTTGTTTAGTATGGGAATCTTATGTAGGAGTTATTTTTGTCCTTCGGAAAATATTGTCCTAGTTTGCTATAATATCTGCCAGGACAAGTAATGTAAGAGGAATTATTGTCCTCCTGTAAATATTGTCCTCGTTTGCATTGACATCTGCCAGGAAGAGTTTGTATGACTTGTTATGTATGTAGGTCACTATATAATAGTATGGAAATCTACTATAAGAGAAAGTATTGTCCTCCAGGAAATATTGTCTTGGTTTGCTACAATATCTGCCAGGACAAGTAATGTAAGAGGAATTATTGTCCTCCTGTATATATCGTTTGCACTGATACACTCTACTATACCTTGCATTTGGCTTTCAAAAGCAACCCATTTGGCTTATTAGTAATGATTATATATTTGTTTTTATTTGTCAGTTCCTTATTAATGGTTTATCGGTTGAAAGTTAGATGTTGATAAGGTACTTTCAAAAATATACTAAACAATCCAATTAGACAAACAAAGTATCTGAAGCATTTCTAGGTGTTAGGTATAGTAGTGTGTGATATCTGCCAGGAAAAGAATTTGTATGACTTATTAAGTATGAAGGTCACTATATAAAAATATAAAAATCCAATATTAGAGAAAGCATTGTCCTCTAGGAAGTATTTTCCTTGTTTGATTAATAATACGTATCTGTAATACTATATGAACATTTTATTTTAACATTGTGCCATATAAAATAAATAACTACAAATCAAAGTTGTTTTGGTAGAAAATCACATCCAGAATTCAAATATGCGATCAAATAGAAGAAATTATAATAAAAAAAACATTTGACCTACTTTTGATAAAGCAAAAGTAGTTTATTGATCATAGTCCCTGGTTCAAAGCTCGCCTATTTTCTAAATGGCCACCATTTTTGTCTCGCGAAATTCACTTTTGGACCATTTGCTTTAAATCCTCCGTCAATAGGATTCCCGTTTTAAGTTATTTTTGTTCAACATCAATGTAGAAAACTCCCCTACGACTCCTGGTTCAAAAGCTTGCCTTTTTTCAAAATGGTCGCCATTTTTGTCTCGCGATATTCACTTTCGGCCATTTCCTAGCTTTACAATAATTTCAGGTGACCTGCATTGTAAAAAGTCATGTCACTGTAAAGAGTAATTGTATGAAATAATTTTGTTACAAAAATCTGCAAAAATTACATCCATTTTTTTATTTTCTGCCATTTTAGCCATCATTCACTGTTGAGCAACACCATGTGACCCCAGTACCCATGGTACTATTTTTTATTCATAATGGTCCCAAATAAATGATGATTTAAAAAAACATTTGACAAGTGTTAAAGGTGCAACAATTAGTGCAGGGGGGCCATTCAACGATCATCCACCAGTGTCAAAATATGTTAAAGTTTGGATATTTCATCAAGACTACCATATATTTTTATTATCTACAAAGAAACCCCTGAATGAACATTATTTCAGCTGATATTCCTCTTGAAACGTTGTGAATCTTAAAAATCTATAAGTGGGACTCCCTTTATAGAAGCTTTGAACTGAATTTACACTTCTTAATGCTGAACTTGAGAGTTTATCCATACATTTTAGGAAAATAGGTATGTCAAAGAAGATGTCAAGCCAAATATTGACCCGATAGCTCAGAAAAAATAAAAAATTTCGAATTTTCTCTTCACAGTCCTTGTTGCCCCTTTAATGACAATAAGGTCTCTTTGGTTACAAGCAAATTTCACTCAGTTAATCCTAAACAATGACTTTTTCTGACCATAATCTCAAAGAAAGGCATATGTTAAGTTGATTGGGCTACATTTTCTCAAAGTTTAGGATCTTGCAGATGCAAAATCCTTAAAATCTGAACACCTCCTAATCCGAATGCTTTTAGCCAGTCCCAATGGAATTTAGATTAGACAGCTTCAATATTACTGTACTTTTTGATTCCGCTGGCCTATTTTCACCAAAAAAGCAATCTTAAGACAATTTTAATGCATGACTGTTCCCTGTTTTAATATATTAATAGGATTCTGAAAGAAAAACTGAATTGCTCAAATATAAGTGTCCCAATGTTTTCAATGCTATCCATTGAATTCAGCTCATTTTGGTCATCCAGATTCAGTACAGTCCCTGGAAAAATCCAATTTTCCTTTTAGAAAATAAAACATGTCTCAAAAATTCTTATCCTTTTCAAAATCCCTTTGTAGTGAAAAATAGCTCAATGCACAAACACATGCATACTTGTCTTAAAGTATTTTTTCATTTTTCTACCAATCCACAGTTTTAGCAGCTAATGTATTTTGAATTTTTTTTATAGGTTATGTTTTATTTATCAATACTATCATTTCATAATGTCCGACAATGGGCCAAGGCCATTGGCATTAGTGACCCATGTCGATTTTCACACATACACATTTATATTTTGTATTTTGAATTTCGAATGCACTTTCAATTAATAGTTCATGAGACATATAATGAACAAGCTTCATATTAAGACAATTTGGAATTATAATAAATTCAGTACACATTCAAGCATGATTTAAATGCATGTTCAGTTACCGGCCCATGGGCCATATGATGAACTGCCTTTATATCAAGGAAATTTGGAATAATGATATTTGCACACAGTTAAAAATGAAGTAAATCCAGATGAGCACAGATATAGCAATTTTCTCAAAGCTGTTTAGTTTCCGCCAGTATCTTGAGGTATTTTTTGTTACTGTTCATTTATCTTAAATTTTTAAAAATTCATACTTTGCCCCGCAGAATATTGCATATCCCATTCATTTATGCAGCTCTAATATCCTCCCTTCAATAACTCCAACAACAAGAAACCCCTCCCCCTCCCTCTGCCATATAAAGTTCATAAAACTGGAGTATGATCAGAAAACAGTTAACATGGCCCTTACAAAAAATCATAAAACATTTGCACTTGATTTTATGCTATTTATGCTAAAACAATGAAATGAAAAAAGAGAAAAGTTCTAAATTCAGATATATTATTTACTGTAAACACATGTTTCATTTTACACACTTTTTATTCAGAAATACTCATCATCAAACATTTCAAATAATTACAATTTTTGGGAGGTCATTTAATTCATGAGACAAAATGTTGTTCTAGATTGCAAGGAGGATTGGCTCCCAGAGTGCAACATCGATATTCTGTCCCATATATGGAAATGTCGTGATTCAAAATTTGAATTCAAACAGCCACCATTTTGTTCACTTCAACATTTGAATCGTGGATTTTTGTCTTATTCCCAAATGAAAAATTCCAAAACTCACAAGAAATGATCGAGATATTGGTTCGAATTTTTTGGACTGTTTATTTTAAATTTATAGTCGGTAATAATTTCAGAAAATAACGACATTTCGACGTTTTCGTTGTTGGAAAATATCGATAGCCGATCCTGGGAGCCAATCCTCCTTGTCTAGATTGGTTGGAACCCCTTTGGATCATTCCAAATAAAACCCAGGGGATGTAAGCTAATAAATCAAAACATGTTCAATAGAACAAAAAGTAAACAAAACATCAATATCACCCCTGTCCTTTAAAATGTTGACCTAATTATCAATTCAAAGTCGTCTGCATATTTGAAAAAGCAACACATATTCATAAAAGAGCTTCTAAATGTATGACATATTTATCTTCATTTGAACTAAACTGATTGTAATTATAATTGGATGTTTTTATTTTGATCTTATAAACATCATAAATCATAATTGAAAAATGAAAATTCTATTTCAAGAGTTCTATTTTATAGTCATTTGTCTAGATCTAATTTGTTTTTATTTTTGTGTAATTTCAGTCAGGCCAAGTGTTGTCAAGAGGAAGCTCCATTCTGTTGTTATAGAAGATCTAACAGTGACCAGTCTGGGGAATATAGTTGCAATGGGTCGGTCTACAACAAAGATCTACAACAGCAGTACATTCCAGATGATCAAAGAAATAAACAAGGGGTTCTTACGTGTTACAAAAACCACAGATGGCCAGCTGGCATTTACAACCTACCCCTACAGCAACAAAATCCACATATATAGTGAGGATGGGTCGCCCATTCGTACCATCACCTGTGCAGCACCTGCAAGTAAGCTAAAAGCTATAGCCTCACTGCCAGCAGGTTGGTTCATAGTGACTGATATAATAACCAAAGGAGTGTATATGGTGGATTCAGCAAATGGGAACGTCACACTGATCTCTCCATCTGGTATGTTCAGTCCCCGGTTCAGTCGCCCTTGGAATGTGGCAGTTGGCATCAACAGTGAGATCATCGTAAGTGACTGGGGTGGTAATTTCATCAAAGTGATCAACAGAGACGGCCATGAAATCCTCCATTATGGAGAGAGAGGCTGGGAAGAGGGACAACTGAAAGGTCCCTGGGGTGTCTGCACAGATAGCAATGGATTTATTATTGTAGCAGACTCAGGAAACAACAGGGTACAACTCCTCACACCCAATGCAACATTTCATAGTCTGCTCCTGACATCAAGGTCAGATGGTCTGTACAAACCACTCGCTGTACACGTGAATGAGGCGGGTGAATTGCTAGTGGGGGATGAAAAAGGCCAGCTGTTCATTGTCAACTACTGAGACTAAGGTAAATATGAAACAATAAAACAACAACAGCAACTAAAACACAACATCTGATACTAAAGTATGACATGAATGCCATGAATGAAATGTTTTAAGATATTCATTGGATAAAATAGATTTCAAATTGCTAAATCTAATCAATCTGAAATTAGTAGAATGTAAATAATGAATGTAAACAATATGAATGTTTTTTTCTAACAAGTATTTGTTGAACTGTGGAACAAATCTCATATTTTTATCTTCATTTGTGTCGTTTAATGAATTGAAAAGTGGACTTGTTCAAAATTTGTTCAAAATAAATATGAAACAATTGTAATAAAACCCGGGCCCTCTCTCTGAACAAATACTTGGTAGCGTGGCTAGGGCCGGGAATATTACGAAACTAAATTTTGACTTGGTCTTGAATTGAGTTAATCAAATTATTTGCTTGGTCATTAAGGGAAATTTGGAATAATATGACACTGGAAGGTATTGCCACCTTTAAATGACAAACTGGACCAAAATAGAGCTTACTGTGGAAGGGGGTGATTGCAATATAAAATGATTGAAATTGAGACTTAAACACAACTTGCACCTAAGTATTCTCAACAGATTGCAAATGTGAGCTTGATATGACCCCTTAAATATATGGGTTTTAAATTAAGATGAAACAATCTGTTGAAAATAAACTTCGATCAAATTCACCACTCTATGCAAAACAACAGACAAAGAAATCAGATTATAAAGTTTAATGATGCTATAAATCTAATATGTAAGATATAATGTGAATGATATATTTATAAATGAATATTTACATAATCAAAGAGTGTCACGAAGTTACGAATAAGAATCTGTTTCTCACAACAGGACCGATCTTATTTAACTTACTCTTGATTTAAAGCAACACTCACTTATCCATCCTTCCCTAATCCATCTCTACCTGGCAGACAATGAACCAATCTATCTCATAACAGCACCAACCATATCTACAGTGACCACTGACAACTTAACCTAATGGAACGCTCAGCAATAATAGTCATCTTTGATCAAACTGAACAAGGTAGAAAAAAGCAACTAAACTTAAGTTCAGAACACCAACAGAACATGAACAATAAGAATACTTAATAGCGAAACCCTGCTTGAGATGCTGCCATGAGTGGGTGTGGTCTGTGTCTCTGCACATTCACACGGCCTGGAATACACAAATCTTGCATCTCCTTAAACAGCTTAACGAATTTGTTACGAAAGTCTTGCGTTAATTAAAATAGTTCACAGGAATTCGGCAATTGTCCACTATACTCTGACATATATTCATCCCACACGATAATATGGTAAATCTGCAACCAAAGTCTATTTTATATCAGTTCTATATAAGCATATCCAGATCGGTCACCCATCTTTGCAGTCCCTTGATGTTTCTCTTTACTAACAGGCAATTCCTATCATCCCAAACTTAATCCAAAACTGTATCACAATGCATTATTTCTTGTTTCAAAGATCTTGTTCCCTTGTCAGTTCCAAACTCAAGACTTTTAGACTAACTTAACACCTAATGTTAAACAATACGAAGCCTTAACCAGGATGCTATTGGTCAGTTCTCTGGCTAGCTAAATAACCTTGAAATTTGATTGGCTAACAATTTAAAAACACAAGTAGACTGATGCTGTATAGTGCTACCTAGACTTAACATGATAACTCAAATATTTCCCAATGAAATATAATGCAGCAAAAATTAAAGTAAAATATAAAAGACATGATAAAATAAAAAGTAATGAGCCAGGATCATTACACAATTGAATTTTGATTATGATTTTTAATGTTATCTTTCAGTCTAGCTCCCTGAAAGTGAACAGAATAATCAACAACAACAACATCAGCATGGACATTAACAACAATTACATCAACAATAAACAAGACAACAACAATTACACAACAGTAAACAATACAACAACAATTACAACAACACAGATAATTAACACAGATCATGCCAAAGAATCAAAGAGTTAAAACAAAAGTGACAATCCAGCAGAAAGAACATCATTTACATTTAAAGGATGTATATAATATAGGATTAAGTCATTTTGTATGGATATCTGTATGGATAAGCATGTGAGTAATATTCAAATATGTATAATTGTGAATGTGATTTTTAGTTTATCTTAAAATTGTGAATGTTTATTTTCAAGTCATATTTTTACATAATTACAATGTAAGAACTAAAGGAGAGGGAGGGTGGTCTTTGGAAGCTAGATACACAAACTTCTTTCAATTTTAAATATATTTTAAAAAAGGGATATTTCCACTCATCCAGATATTGATATCAACTCATTGATAAAAATGATATCCCTCAAAATCATAGGATATCCTATATACAACATGTGCTTCTACATATTATAAAATGTGATTTAATGGAATCCAAAATAGCTTGTTTTTGGCAAAACTACTATGCTATGTTATCGAATCTGAGTTAGCAACTGATGCTTAATTTCATGATAACATGTACAGGGTGGTCAAAAGAAGTGGAAACCCTTGCACCATTTCCCTCATATATTTGTCATTTTAAGAAATAACTCCCTGATATTTTGCACATGTGTACATAATTCAATTTCCTACCAACTTACTCTATTTTATGACCATCAGATTGATAGTAACAATGTTATAGCACTTTAAAGAATGTTCCCCAGTGGCCACTTTTGCGCTGTCAGGAAACCTGTACTCTTCGTCTAAAATGTTCCTACCTGTGCGGATATGGCAGAGATAGAGTATATGAGAATGACCTTGGGACAATTGCAAACCTCAAAAGTGAGATCATCAGTGTCATTCAGGCCATACCTGCTAAGGAATGCATTCAGGTCATTGACAACTGTGCTTTTTTAATTTTTCTTGCATCAATATGTTGTGTTTTGACACACAGTTAACCCCTTTAAAGGAATAAGTGATTCCTTATAGATGAAGTAGAAAACAATATTTCCCATGTTATTTTCCCATAGGGAAAACCCATGCGATCCATTGCTTTCAGCTAATTTTGGTCACCCATAATGGATATCTTTAGAACCCCTGACAGAATTACTTATTCCTTTAAAGGTATTAACTGTGTATCAAATGCAACATATTGATGCAATAAAAACTGAAAAAGCAGGGGTGGAAGATGTTAAAAATCAGAACAACATTTCAGAAAAAAACATATAGTGGGTGGGTTGTTTGCATCTTCCCTGTCTCAAAGTCGAAATTATTTTATCATCTCTATGAGTGCATTTCCTGGAAGCAATGCATTGATCTAACATATACATCTATTTAAATCCTCAGAAAATTAAAAATATGTTCTGTATAGTGGTATCAAGGTTAGGGAAGATCTCAAAAGTTCAATGTTGGATTATTAACAGAGACGCAATTGAGCAGTTAATCTTTGACCCCTCCCCCTCATAACTGTATTTGAGAAATGGTGACTATGTTGGTCACACTTGATATTATAATTACAATTATTCAATTTAGACTAGTTCACTTTTAAGGTTATTAACCCTCCCCCTATCTGTTTAAATACATTTAATTTTTTGACATTGATCTTTTGAAATGCTCCCTTACTCTCAAAGTATCGAGGGAGGTAGAAATTACTTTTAAGTGAATATAATGTTAAATGGGCATGGACTTAGAGTGCTGAGGCCTCATCACCTGCTCGTCGCAGAGCAAAATCAGGATTTGTATCATCCGCTCAGCGCAACGCAACGCAATCGCAAATTGAAAGATGTTTCAATCGCAACTGCCAAAAAGTTGCATTGCTCTTACCCTGCCGCAATTCAATCGCAAATATTACGCATCTTTGAGGCAATTATTATCTATGCATCAATCTAGGAGTTTCTTTACTGATTCCGTAAATATGTTCATTTCTAAAGGTGACTGTGTAATAAAAAGTGAGTTTATGGTTTTCAAAAGTGCTTAAATCAAAGGAATTGTTAATGGTATGAGGGAAGTTTAGAACATTCGAATTTTATAATTAAATCCAAATTCTGATCGCAAATTCAAGAAAGTGAAACGCTATGTTCATTCCGGCATCGCTAAAAATGGACATAGCTTTGAGGTTATTTGCAACAGGCAACTTACAAATGTCAAATAGGGACTTATTTGGAATAACCCAAGCATTTGTCTCTAGGTTATCAGATCCAACGCAGGAGTTGCGCCAGCGCAAATTGTTGAATCGCAATTGCAATACAGACGCAAATCTTGCGACAAGCACGTGATAATGCCTCTGAATATCAAATATTGTATTTTTTGCTGAAGTGATATTTTCAGGATGAAATATTCCTAATTGATGTTAAATGTGATGTAAAGATGTTGTGTCAAGAATCATGTTTCAAATTCAAACAGTATTTGATATAGTCAACTATTTTCAATCTTGAGGTATGATATTTGGTACTTGTACTCATTATTATATCCCAGATGCAAAATCAAGACAGCTTGGTTAAAAATTATAAAAATCGTGATTACAATGGAGAACTATGGTGACTGTATCTACCCTGTTTATGAATGAATAGATCAACTCTCAATATTTCACGTATTTATTTGCCTCAATGTAAGGCACCCGTTTAGCAGGGTATAGGGTGTCCAAGAAATATGGAGACTGTATCTACCCTGTTTATGAATGAATAGATCAACTCTCAATTTTTCATGTATTAATTTGCCTCAATGCAGGACACCCATTTAGCAGGGTATAGGGTGTCCAAGAAATATTGAGACTGTATCTACCCTGTTTATATATGAATAGATCAACTCTCAATATTTCACGTATTAATTTGCCTCAATGTAGGGCACCCGTTTAGCAGGGTATAGGGTGTCAAGAAAATATACAGACTGTTCCCAAAAATAGCAATATATGTACATTCGGTGAAAGTAAAACATTCAGTTTTTTCATCTTCATTCTCTTGCTACCCTGTATGTGCATGTGGGTTTAATTCAAAAAAATTATGCGCTTTTTCTGAGTGGTGTAGATTCAATAAAATGTACAATGTATATAATGATCAATGGGAATTCCAGTTAAAGCAAAACATTCAGTTTTGCATTTTCATGTTCTGGCTACCCTTGTATGAGCAGAGCATGTGGATTTAACTCAAAACATTATATGTATACCCGAGTTGTGTAAATTCAATAAAACGCATGTATGTATTATGTATAAGATGATCAGTATTTATCCCATCGAACTATGAAATGTTTTACATTTTCTGCAAATGTGTTCATACGGGATAATTGAAATAACATTAAACCATTTAACTACCGGTCCTGTGTGAGACTTGAAGCCATTCGATGGGATTTGCTACACTGGCATTACCAATGTATTAAAATATATAATATTATAAAAATATATTTCTTAATATTCAGTAAAATAATGTTTTTTTATTTAATATATGAATGAGGGAAATTCAGAAAGAACTTAACATCTTGTAGCAGCTCAGGACAATCTCCCGACACTGCTACGAAAAAGGGAATGATGCACAAAAACTATTCACAAAGTTACCCCTGTACAAATTACGTTATGGTAGCGTGAAATGAATGGTTGGCGTAAGTTCAAAGATGGGATGAATGAAGCTGTGTTTAAGCAATTCACTAAGGTGCTGCCCCCTTTAGTTAAGTGTGTAAAGTAAAAGGTTTATGGAGAAATGAAACTAATAAATGTAGTATCAAAAGCTAACTATGCAGTGCTGCCCCCTTTAAATGGAATTAAAAGCTAAAATAACTAATTGAACAAATGGCTCTATGAAGGAATCAGGGGACCCAGTAAAATGTGAAGATGACTGAAATGGCTTTAATCTAAGGGAAGTTTTACTATGGATTCAATCTTAATCAGCTCAATTACCACAAACTATAACACGACACAATGAGTAGGTTCTTAAGATGATTCTTTAATTGTATGTAAATCTTGTATTGTACAAAAATAAATAAAATATACTTGCTATCAAAATTACTTTTCACCATGGACGTATATCAATTTTGATTCAAATAGAGGCTAGTCACGTGACCGAAACACAGACCGAAAGTAGGTCAAACGGCTGTTAGGTATCCAGTTGATATACGTCCATGTTTTCACGGACTGTGAGATAATAATGAACCTGACTAGTAGCAAAAATACCAACTATGGAACTAAAAGGTTACAAATGTACACAATAATACAAAGCTGAGATAAGAGCGCCTAGAAAGTAAAAAGTACAAAAAATCCAGCCTTTGAAGGCGATATCAAGGCGCTATGGGTTGAACAGTTCATCGCCCCTGGAAAATGAACGACACAAAATTCCAGCTTCTGATGGAACAACCGAAGCACCAGGTTACTTAATGCAAAATTTGTATAAAAGCATCAGCAGTATAAAAATGTAGAAAAATAATAGCACCAGTTCAAATAGTAATCAAGTTTCGAAGGCACAAAATGTTATGGTTATGTAAGTGAATAAAATATTGCATTTTAATCTGTAATAATACTGCAATAATGCTGTGCTCAGAAAACTACCCTATGTAATCATGAATTCAGATCTCGTTCCAAAATAAGTTCATCAAAAGTTTTACGTTCAGTTTTATGAGATTCTAAGAAAATATGAAGCAAAATAAGATCTCTGTTTAAAATGGCGCTCATCTGTTCCGAGATTACCCTGAGTCTCAACGAGCAGTAATAATACTATGCTCTGAGGTATATTCCTGAACTCAAATGAGCGCTTAGCAGCAAAATCAGAATTAAAACTGGCAGAAACTCTCAAAGCTCAATTAAGGTAAAGCTGGAAAATAACATTTTGGTAAAAAAATTGCTATACCTGCACATGTTATTTTCTGGTACAAAATAAAGTGTGAAGGGATGTGTTCATTTCTTTACTTTTTTCAGAAAAGTATTATTACATTGTCTTCTTTTAGTAAATCTGGTAAGAGTTCTATTTGAACTCCAGGAAATTCTGATATTTCACGCATCTATTTTTCCAATTTTCTTTTGAAGTTTCCGGACAACCCGGGAGCCTACCATTGACCTGTTTCCAGGT